CGAGGAGTTTGTTCTTAGAAGTCTGATAGCTTCTCCTTTAATAAAGCCTTTCTTAACACCTGGCGGGTGGCAAGATGAATAGTGTGTATATTGAAAGGTCTCGGTCGGTTTGTAGTGAGTTTTGACGTCGAGGATAGCTTCGTTTTGGAATCTTTCACCTTTGTAGACAACCGTGTCTAAGAATGTGATTTCAGTCTCTGAGATTTCAGCCGTGAACTTTATAGTTGGATGGAACGTGTTAGCTTGTTCTATGAATAGATCAATGTCTTGTTTACGAACATCCCACAGGGAGAAAACGTCGTCAATGTAACGCTTCCATACTCTCGGCTTGATACTGCTTTGGTGAAACAGTTTTGTTTCAATTTCTGCCATAAAGAGATTGGCGAAAGCAACCGCCATTCGTGTTCCCATGGCAGTTCCAAAACATTGGAGATAGTTTACTCCGTTGAACTGGAACGAATTTTCATTCAGTATAAGCCCGAGCATTTGTTTTAAGTAGTGGGACGGAATGGGAGGGCTGTTATTGTGGTATTTTTCGTATGCTTGGCATACTACTGTGATTCCCTCTTCTTGTGGGATGTTTGTGTACAAGCTTGTTACATCCATTGATACTAAAATAGTATCATTTGACACTTGCGTTTTCTCTATAAAGTTGATGAAATCATTCGTATCTTTGAGACACGATTTTTGCTTTTGAGCAATAGGCTGTAATAAATGATCCACAAAGGATGATATCCTTTCAGTTGGTCCTTCGCAGCCCGATATAATCGGTCTACCCACTGGCAAAGGTTTGTGGATTTTTGTTAAAGTGTAGAAAATCGGTAGTTTGAAAAATTGTAGTTTGTCATCGTAATAAATAATCTTTTCATCATAAGAGACTATTAGTGTCGTTTGTTTCACGATGTGGTCACTTCGAATGTGGATGGCGACGTTCGACTGCGTACTGTCTGTCTGCTTCAGGCCACGAGGTGCATTATGCTGTTGGAATATTCAATAAGGACGGAAGTTGTGTTATGCAGAACACACCCAAGTGCTCTTCCTTCAAAAAACGTGCGAAAGACGTTCCGGCCTAACGAGACAACCGAAAAAATGCTCGAGTGAATTGAAGAGTCACTGATGTGTAGAACAAAAAAAAACCTTATCTTTTAAGATTTTTGAATAAAGCTTTTTATTTATTACTGAATCGTTTTGAATCTAATCTTAACATTTAAATACATTTTCCGTGTTTTTCTTTGGTTTCAATAAACCAAAATGTAACCTCTGGCTTTAATGTGTTTATCTCCATTATCCGGAGCATGAGAAGCCTCGTTTCCACATGTGTTATTGTCATCAACGTGCCCTCCTGTACCAAACCCAATCCTGGAGTTGCAAGAGAGGCAGTTATCCTGATTGTTAGTAGCGATACCGATTCTCGCTTTGGAGTGATGAGGCTTGCCACACAGAACATTAAACCCTTCCTTGTTACAGTCAGACTGCAGGGAAGCCTCTGAGCCAATAAGTGTCTTCCACGAGTCACGACCCAACGAGGTGTTTCGGTATTTTCCGTCAGCGATCAATGAGTAAAGAGAGCTGGCCTTCGTATTGATTACAATGAATCTGATCTGTTCACCGATCTTCATACCGAGACAGATCTTGGAGAAGGACGTGTCCCAGTAAGTAGGCAACTTGGTCTCTTGTGAGTCGAATCCAGTCTCCCCTCCAGCAGTGTTGTATTCAGTTTTATTACTCCAGTAACCAGAATCATAGTGAAAGGTACTCTGGGAGAATAATTTATAATATGATATAAATTTATTACTGGTTTTCTAACTATCCACTGTACTATCCTGCTTGTTTTTAGACAATTTGAGACAATTCCTCCCTCCCAACCCATTTGACATATAGTATCTGTCCACTTAGTCAAAGAGATGTCAGCCGGAGACATTAAAAGAGAGCGGAAGTCGCCCTCGTTGTCAATAAGTCAGTCAACACCTGTGGAAAAATATCTCTCAAGTGGTCGATAATGGCACACAATCGATAAAAAATCGATTCTGCATGGTACCTTGTTGCCGTTAATTTTCATGACTGGCGTCCATCCTCCATGTCCGCATCCAAAATCTCCCATGTGACATAGAACTGTAGTTAGCTGTGAGCCCAGATGAAGAGAAACCAATTTACTCACGTTTGATCTGTTAATATACAAGTGGAGTAGTTGCATAAGTATTTGACTCTCTTATGATGCTAATCTTTATCATTTGTACTTATTAAACTTCCTGACTGATGTGTCGCCGAACTCTGTTTTTAAGTTCCAACGTGGCTGTAGCAAACTGGCCAACTCTGCGTCTCCAGTGTCACAGAAGAAAAGATTTTTGAAAAGATCTGTTTAAAAGAGCAAGAAGTGAAAGCCTCTTACTTGTTTGCCTCATATATTTCCTTGCATGATTTTACAGCTGAAAGATAGAGTGTGATGTTAGAGCCGCATGTATTCTATTGTTGAAAAAGTACGGAAGAGGGAGTCAGTGGGATATTTCAAACATATTCGTGAATTACCTTTTTTTTCGCAAAATTCTCCAACGAAACTTTCTTTACAAAGACAGTCAATAGTGTTGGAGCTGAAATTCGGGATGCAGGTTCCTCCGTTTTGACACGGCGATGAAGAACATGGAGACTGAAAGAGAGGAAATGACCGTTGAGACCACCCAGTGAATGCTTGAACAGTACTTGCGATAGCTGTGAATATGCATACCTCGTCGAGAGCGAGTACTTTTATATGTATTCACTTGTAAATGCCTTGCGTTAGAATTATAACACAATGGTTAAAGTGTTCTTACCCGCACAATGAAAAAATGATGCGAACTCGTGTTTTTGTGGTAGTTCCCAGAATTTCTGTTTTTATCAGAAGACAGTAATTCGCACCAAAGTTTTCCGTCTGTTCCATGAGAGGTGGCTATGTTTAAAGAGAGGCACAAATTATTTCGGAGGCACGCCAAGGCACAATGAAACATGTCGAATATCGCCAACTTTCTGATCTGAGTAACGTTCAGATAATGGAACTCCTCTTCAAGAAAATAACTTTGTTCGGCTGCTCGGTCAGAAGGGCCCCAATCTTGGTCAGCACTTTTTATTCCTGGATCGAGGAGAATAAAATGGATTTTAACCAAATTGCTATTACAATACTTAAACTGAGACAAGAACTCTCTGCATATCTCTCCCTGGTGGATTCCACATCCGAATCGAGACAAACGATTACTATTCTCTTTTGAAATTGTTATTTAACACGATGACAACCACTACCCATGTTATAATATAAAAGTGAAGATATGATCCGCTCAGGTGAGCTGCATGTGATGAAAGAAATTGCCAAAAAGGAGCTTGAGAAAAATTTGGGTTTCGACACCTTTTAAATGTTGACATATTTATATAATTGTGTGAATTCTCAAAGCTCGATTTGAAATTGGGCCAAAAGTTCTTCTGAAACATTTTACTTCCTAATATAAATGTATTTCCATAGCCCCAATAGATATTTGTATGTATAATTTTGTGAAAACTGGAACTCTAAGTTTGAATTAAGTTGGAGACAAATTCTTCTTCAAAGGCGATGATGAAATATCTCGAATCATCTCTATATTAAAAAAAAGGTAACAAAACAACAACAAAAAAACTTAAAGCTCATAATTATTACAACTTAAAGTTAATAAATTGGGTAAGTAGCCATTGTTTGTTTTTACAGGAAACTCTTTGAAGACTTTGAAAGGTTTTAAAAATGTGGTACGACAAAAACTTAGATAAATACAAAAAATCGACAGAACCTTTCTTATTTGACTTACAGCAATTTCAGGCACTTCCATTATGAAAAAAAGGGCTTTTAGTTTGTTTTGACTAAGTAGCAGATTTGTCACTTGTTTCCCTCGGAAAATACGGCTTGAAAGCACTTAGTTGGAACCATGATAATTGCTACAAGGAGTGCATGTGGCTAAAACCGGTTTTGTTTAGTTTCTAAATGTTGAGAGCTTGAGAAAGCGACTGTAAATAAGCTGAAAGGGAGAAGAGTTATTCTGAAATATCGTAGGTTTTGAATTATCGGCGAGGATTTAAAAAATCGGGGGTAAACTTTCAGCCATATTAGAAAAAAGCTTTAGTTTCATTTTCGCAACTTCAGCTGCCCGCACCAGTTCAGTAAAAAAAGGGATAGAAATTCTCGATAAGGTTGTTGAAATACTTTAGTTTATAATGACTGTAAATATATGGAAATCATGTATGTGCACTGCGGTAGAAAAACGAATATAAGTGATCTTCGTAGTTATGAACACTACTGAACTAGTATTTGAAATAAGGCCTAAAGGTTTATTTGGATCCAACAGAATGACCAGCTCCTAGTTGGCTTGTAAGCTCAGTTGGTAGAGCGCTGCACCGGTATCACAGAGGGCATGGGTTTAAATCCCGTGGGGGCCTGATTTTTTTTCAGGCCTTATTTCAACTACTAGTTTAGTAGTTAGTTTTAGCAAGAAAACAATAATATAAAAAATCATTAACTTCTTTGTCTAAGAAACAAGTTTACCCCCAGGACTTATGCCTCAATTTATAAAATGTCTGGTATTCTTGGAAAAATTCTGAAGCTAATAACTCAGCAGGTTTAGCCACTATTGCTAAAAAAACTAGAATATTATATAGAGAATAAAGACAGTCTAACCTGAGAAAGATTTGGCAGCAAGAGATGTCAGGAAGAACAAATGGAAAATTACGGACATGATGGCTTCTGCGCGATCGAATGATCCGCGGTCATCTGCTAGGAGTGAGTCTGACACTGTAAAGTGAAGTGAGGTTTTAGTTCTGTTTGTGGCAAAGGATTTTTCCTGAGTGTCATACGTGGGGTAATTAATATGATGTTGGGCTGCTCGTGTCTTGATCCAATGGCTTGGTACACTTGGTAAGTGTCTCTAAACGATATTGTCCTAATTTCGAGGTTTTTTGTTTGTTTCAATAAAAAATCTGTCAGCAAGCAGAGTTAGATAAGTGCGACCTTTAATTTGCAAACTTAAGAAAGATTGCTTCATTAACTTGCTCGTGTGATCCGGGAGATCACAAATGTACATAAAATCGCCCTTGATTTTGGAGTCTCAGAGACAAATTGCATTAGAGCGAATTAACATATTATCCAATTTTTCGCAAGTCAAATATTGGCAATAATTTCGCGTTTTCCAAATTTTGGCCGCGGTCGCATCGAACTGAAATCCCTTGACCAAACGTCCACTGATTGATCCATATGTCAATCCCAAACCCATCTTGCTCTAGAAGATATTGAAAAAAGTCTCGCGCGAATTGCTACACAAGAACGGATCCTTTTTTCCTCCTGACCTTTAATTTATGCGTTGTGGTTAACGCTTGCGTTACTTTTGATGGCTTCCATACTTGCGATGGGAGGAGAATTTCTTGTTGAAGCTATTTGTTCTCCAAATTGCTGCCAGTATAACCGTCCTTAGAGTACAAACACAGACATTTGAGTAAAAGTGGAGTTCAAATTCGTTTCCCTCAAAAGAAAAAGGGTCAGATGAAAGAAGAAAATCCTGCCATCGCACGCCAAATGCAAGCGGACTAAAGTATTTTTTTCCTAAAGAAATTTTTATCCAGAGATATCTTGCATAACCTTACAGCTTAGCGGTTAAAAAACAAGATTGTTTGTTTTGCTAAAATTTGGAAACCTATAAGGCAGGACGTCGGGTCCTTTGAAAATTTTGCAACCATGTTATACGGTCGTCAGAAGCCTCAATCGTCTGTGCTGCAGGCTGCATTTAAAAGTCTTGATCAGGGAAAAATTGCCAAAGACGAAATTTCACAAATACACGTTCTATAAAAATTGTGAAAAAAGTTAAGATAAAAATTAATTTCCCTGAGATTTTCCTTGACATCGGTGCCGTTGACAAGTTTTATTTTCTAATGTATCAGCGGACGATTTGAGTCTCCCTGTCTCGCAATATTCAGATATCAACCATTTTTTTTTTACAGGCACATTCAAAAGTGGTATCTGTTCAGCTACCACCGTTGTGGCACGGAAAGGGAATATTATTTTTAATTTACCGCAGAACTTTTAAATTTATAATGGGGAAAACTTTTCTTCATAATAAGGCCCGATAAGAAAGTTTTATGAAAGTTTCGAGTGCAATATGGTGTTGGTTAGCACGAGTAAAATTTTTTAAAGATAACATAATTGCATCAGCCTGTAGGGAGAGTGCAATTTGAGGTCTTTAAAAAAATTTACAAGTGCTTATGTACACCAAATTCCAGTAGAAATCATGTTATTAAATATTAATAATTTACACGTAAAAGCATCACAGAAGGTCAAAACAGATGGAATTTTGACAGTGCGCTCTATTAATAATTTGCACTCGTGTTACAAGTTTGCATTCGTATTACATGAAAAATGTATTAGTTTTTAGCCAACTAGAACCGCGTAATTATCTCATGTATACTAGAAATGGCATAATTACAGTGCGTGTTGTAAAAAGTCAAGTCAGTGTCACTAACCTAACAAGCCCCACCTGAATAGAAACGTACTGCGAGCTCTTATTTCTTGAAATTCCTCAGGAAATCTATATTTATGGGAAGACAGTTACTCACACACACTTCCCAGTTTACAGACCATCAGAAAGTGTCTTTCAAGCATGAATATACGCATTCTTAGTCGTCGAAAACCACGAACGTTCCACTTTTAGACGCAGCGAGATATTAATATTCATCTATTACTAAAATACTTTGTTTAAAAGTCTAGGATGAAAAGGTGAACTTGTTTTCCAAATCAGGCGCTTCTGCAAAGAAGCAAATATGCGTTATATTAAAAGAAATTAGACAAACATTTTTTTTAGTGTTGTCCAAATTTTCAGGGTCACCTGTCTTTCGACGTCGGCTTCAAAACAACATAAAGGTATAGTGATCTCAATATTGGCAACTCTTAAGGCTTCTTAAACTTTGATTTATGTCTCGGGTAATTATCGTTTAAACTGGCCATTTAAGATAATTTAGAACCGCGACACTTTTCTCTCGTTTGAAACTTTTAGGAAATTTGTCACTTTTTTATTTCATGATGTCAGTTGCAAAAGGCCATTCAAGGAAGTTTTAATGAGGATATCAAGAGATAACCGGAGATGAAAAATGGTGTGTAATTGCTTCCTTTCTGCTGACAACTAACCCGTAATTTTATTAAGGGACGGAAGTCGTGTCATGCAGATATCTTTACAAGACATACAAATGGTGAAGATTCATGATAGACATCTACATTATCGAATTTTTCCTCGAAATCGGTGCCGTTGTCAAGTTCTATTTTCAAATGTATCGGCGAACGATTTGAATCTTTGCTGACAAGTGCTCTTCCTTCAAAAAATGTGCGAAAGACGTTCCAGCCTTACGAGACAACCGAAAAAAGGCTCGAGTAAATTGAAGAGTCACTGATGTGTAGAACAAAAAAAACTCATCTTTTAAGATTTTTGAATAAGCCTTTTTATTTATTACTGAATCGTTCTGATTGTAATCTTAACAATTTAATGAACTTTCCGTGCTTTTCCTTTGGTTTCAGTAAACCAAAATGTAACCCATGGCTTTAATGTGTTTATCTCCATTATCCGGTTCACGAGTAGCCTCGTTTCCACAGGTGTTATAGCGATCATATAGTCCTCCTGTACCAAATCCAATCCTGGAGTCGCAAGAGAGGCAGTCATCCTGGTTGTTAGAAGCGATGCCGATTCTTGCTTTGGAGTTATAAGACCCACTACAGATCATATTGAACCCTTCCGTGTTACAGTAAACCTGCAACGAGGCCTCTGAGCCAATAAGCTTCTTCCACGTGTCGCGACCCAATGAGGTGCTTCGGTTTTTCCCGTCAGCGATCAGTGAGTAAAGAGAGTTAGCTGTCATGTTGATTACAATGAACCTGATCTGTCCGCCGATCTTCATGCTGAGACAGATCTTTGAGAAGGATGTGTCCCAGTAAGTAGGCAACTTGGTCTCTTGTGAGTCGAATCCAGTCTTCCCTCCAGCAATGTTGTATTCAATTTTATTACTCCAGTAACCAGAATCGTAGTGAAAGGTACTCTGGGAGAATAGTTTATAATATGATAAAAAGTTATTACTGGTTTTTTATTTTTTTCCTCGTATTATCCTTAAGACAGATTGTGACGATCATAAATTTAGCTGTTTGTCTTCGCTAGGATTTACTTGGCAATGAGGGGAAGCTAATGGTCATGAAATATGTATGACTTGGTGAAATGACGTGTGGCATTATTTCGTCATCAATATTCATGCAGAGTCAATTGGAGCCAATTTAGGTAACGGTCATTATTTATCTCTTGGGCTCTTTTGTGCTATAATAATCCTCTTTCATTGGCAGTCAAATTTATATGGTTCTCCCCTTTATACTCCGTTAGTGACAACTCATCCCCCAAAAATCATACGACCCAATCGTTCACGTCGTCGATGAATACCTCCTAGTGAAAGATCATGTTATTTAATCGATAGAAGATCGATTCCACATGGTACCTTGTTGCCGTTAATCTTCATAACTGGCGTCCATCCTCCATCTCCGCATCCAAAATCTCCCATGTGGCAAAGAACTGTCGTTGGCTGTGAGCCCAGATGAAGAGTAACCAGTTTACTCACGTTTGATCTGTTAATATACAAGAGGAGTAGATACATAAGTAATTGACTCTCTTATGATGCCAATCTTTATCATTTGTACTTATTAAACTTCCTGACTGATACGTCGCCGAACTTCGTTCTTAAGATCCAACGTGGTTTTAACCAGCTGGCCACCTCTGCGTCTCCAGTGTCACAGAAGATAGGATTTTAGAAAAGATCTGTTCAAATGAGCAAAGTAGTGAAAGCCTCTTACTTGTTTGCTTCATACACTTCCTTGCATGATTGTACAGCTGAAATATAGAGCCTGATGTTAGAGCCGGATGTTTTCTATTGTTAAAAAAGTACGGAGAGGATATATCAAACGTATTCACGAGTTACCTTTTTCGCAGAATTCTCCGACGAAACGTTCTTTACAAAGACAATCAAAAGTGTTGGAGCTGAAATTCGGGATGCAGGTTCCTCCGTTTTGACACGGCGATGAAGAACAGGGAGACTAAAAGAGAGGAAATGACTGTTTAGACTAGTGAACACTTGAACAGTACTTGCGATAGCTGTGAATAGGCAAACCTCGTCGAGAGCGAGTACGTTTACATGCTTTCCCTGGTAAATGCCTTGCATTAGAATTTTACCTCAATCATTAAAGTGTTCTTACCCGCAGAATGGAAAAATGATGCGAACTCGTATTTTTGTGGTAGTTCCCAGCATTTCTGTTCTTATCAGAAGACAACAATTCGCACCAAAGTTTTCCGTCTGTTCCATGAGAGGTGGCCATGTTTAAAGAGAGGCACAAATTATTTCTGAGGCACGCCAGGGTGCAATGAAACATGTCGAATATCGTCAACTTTCCGACCTGAGTAACGTCCAGATAATGGAACTCCTCTTTAAGAAAATAGCCTTGTTCAGCTGTTTGGTGAGAAGGGCCCCAATCTTGTTTAGCACTTTTCGTTCCTGGGTTGAGGAGAATAAAATGGATGTTAATAAGATTGCTATTACAATACTTAAACTGAGACAAGAACTCTCTGCATATCTCTCCCTGGTGGAGTAAGGCTTCTTGCAGCATTTGAAATTTGATAAATGTGTTCAATTGTAACGCTATGCCCTTTTCTGTCTCCGAGAACGGAGT